GGTTCGAATCCCGCCGAATGCCGCGAGTTTTTTCACAATTGGGTCAACTAGAATGATCTCCTATTGCCACAAATGAAGTGCACAGACGGGGACAGGAGACACTTTAAACACACCCTATTAGCTGCTTCCGGCTTGGTTTTCTATATGACATTAATGAATGTTGAATTTTACTGACAAGGACAAGGTCACCCCAACCAGCGCGCAAACACCAAGTGACCTGTCGTTTAAGCAATTCTTCTGCGGCTGGGGTCACGATACTAAAGCGATGCGCGGTACAAAAACTCACAACGTCATAGGTCGGAAACCTTATTTGTTCACCTCGAGAGAATTTTTGGAGTCATGCAGAGACGCCACGACCAGATAAGATGACGGAGCTGCAATAGTTTGTAAAAACAGTGTGATCAGATCCCGGAACGATGATATCCTCCGTCGGCTCCGGCCAGGTCACCTACAGATGACTATGAACATAGCTGGGTTAATGTGGCGACCGTTATGATGCAGGCCTCACACGCCGATGACGACAGAAAACAAACTTTATTCGTCAGACAGGGATGACTCATATGACCCCCTAAACAGGACACGGGAGTAGGAACACCAAACCCGAGTAATAACAGTGGTCCTGCGCATAATTCCAGGAAGGTAATTCTAACCACGTCCTAAACCTAATATAAACCAAAATCACAGTCGTAATCATAAGTACAACTCCTCCCTGATCTCTAGTACTACCGTTAACCCTTACCCATAGTCTAACCCAAATTCTTACAGTTTTTGTCAAAACATATCTTCCGAGTCACAGTTTGTTGATAAGCACGAAAGATTAAGGTTTGAAGTCTGTTGCCGCAACATAACAGATGCGTATTATGTTGCTGTAGGTAAAAACGCTTGGAGCGCAACCCTTCACTTTCAAGTTCATAGTAGCAGCAGTAGCACGAGTCACTACTGACTTCAAAAAGTGGTCACACAAAACGAAAAGACAAGCCAATGAAAAACCCGCGACAGGGTCCCCTCAAGGAAAAGCCTTGATAGTGTATCAAGAAACCAGCTGACGTAGGAAATGATCGAAAGGCTGGCAGAGAAATCTAGTTAGTTAGCCTAGGCTATCCTTACCTTGATCCTTTGATTGACGTCCAAAAGTGACTTGGCCTCCGGAGTATTCGGTGGGAAGAAAACGCAAATGTCCATGTCGCTCTGCTTTGTTCCAAAACCGTTCGCGCAGGAACCGAATAGCTCTAGACGCACCGTAGGGTATTGCAGTGCAAAAAGTGCGTTCAGATTCTGCACAAATGTCTACGAGGATGGAAGGATGAAAAATAGAAAAATAATCTAGAGTCAATTATAAGGTGAGATTATTGGCGCCCATTAGATAATGTAGAGGAAATGTCAATTTGGTCAGAAAATGAACTAACCAATAACATTAGAAGTCTGAATAGAAAAAGGAAGGACATATCATATTTAAGATTATTCAGCAAGACGGAATCTTGAGCTAAGAGGGAAAACGAACCTCTCGAAAGTGTTCGTCGGACATGGAATGATATGAAGATAATTGTTCCAGACACTCTGAGAGCTCTATCAGATGAGACCGATTTGGGTGTGGTGGAATATTCTTCGCCAGGGGCTTCCAGGAGGCCATAGACACAGATGTGTCGGGAGTGGAAGAACAGGTTTCGCTGGAGTGACCAGTCGTCCCACAGAGCTTACAAATCTGTGCCGGGGCCGAAAAGTGGGCCAAAAGAGTAGAGGGTTGATCCGGAAAGGCTAAGCCAAGCACAGAGGCTCGGAGGTAATGTTTACCACGCAGAACGTGGCCCTTCGCGATGAAGGGGAAGGAGAAGTCGTCCACACTCAGGTTGCGGACCTTCTCAAATGAGTAAAAGTCGGGTCCGTCACTATCAACGACCTGCGTTCGGAAAAAAAAACGAAAGAGCGATTAACTATTTAAGATCATCTAGGAGCAGAAGAGAAGTAATTCGCTTGTAACACCAGGAATGTTCCAGTTTAGTCAGAAATATCGCAAGAGTACTGACTCTGCCTCTGAAAATTCACGAAGCGATATTATGCAACACCAACTACAGTTTGTAGATGAATTCATACCAAAGATGCACACTAACATTAAGAATCTGCCACCACGGAATCAAAGTTTAGTATTTTATGTTAGAAAATTGGACAGATCGATGGCTTTAGATTCTATGAACAAAATCAAAAAGACCACGGCCTTATAGTAAAGTAAAATTCCAGGTCGTTTGGGCTTTTGCTGAATAATTGTATGTTGGGCAAGAAATTCAGCACTTAATCAAAAATTCTGGTCGACAGTGAAAAAAATCCGAAACCTGCAGACAACCGAGCGGCACGAGTTTGCAGTTTCCAGCAAATTCGGACGAGTTCAGACCAAAGAAGTGTGCATCGCACAGATGAATGTCAACAGGCGTGGGCACCATGACTGACAAGGAACAAGCCTAAGGCTTCACTCTAATCCTTGTTACCCAAACACAACACGAAATGTCTATGCCCACGTTCATACAGAATAAGTTAGACTACTACAAAGATGCCCTAAATTGCTACCTCAATGGAGCCGGAATTTGGCACGATGTAAGGGCTCCAATCAGTCGCCGACACTTGTGAGGCCTTTCCAGCCTTTTTAGAGGGCCTTTTGCGCATAGGGGTAGGAGCTTTGAGTTCGCCATTGGTAGAAGTGTTTGGTTCGATACCTTCAGATGCGCCGGACGTACCCATCTGCTCAGCTTCCGGAAGCAATGTCTAGAAGGAAAGCAATACAAATGGAACAGGTCTGGCCATGAAAATAGTGGATTTTAACAGCATGAAGGACAGGAAAATAAAGTAACAGAAACAGACAGACAAGAAAACTAGCCTCGAGCTCCTCGTCTGAATGTCCTTCATTGAGAAAGAGAAGCTCATCTGTCGTAAGATCGTCGGCAGCTCCTTCCTCGAGTACGGCAAAGGAGTCCTCGTTCATGTTAGAGTCATCGAAATTTTCAAGCTCATTCACATCATCCTCTTCCTCCTCCGCGTCACCATCGTCGGCATCCCCATTTGGCTCTTCTTCATCATGCACCGCTTTTAAACCATTCAAACTAACATTGGGTGCGTCGGGTCCCTCTTCACCAGGACAGCACTCCTCATCACCCTTTGCAAAGCTTGAGTCCTGGCATTGACTAACTTCAGAAGAGTCGGAGAGGGCATCGTCAGAAGCCCCCATATGAGTGGCATAAGCGGCCTCTGCGGT